TTTAAGGTACATGCTTGTTTATTAACTTTTAAGTATCTACAATGTTCAGAGTACTGTAGGGAATGCAGAGTCCATTGAGGCCCTCATAGGATGAAAGGAAGACACCAGTGCATGCCTTTATGGGATGACACACACTCTCTGGGGCCCCGTGAGGCATAGCTCACATCAGTGGGTAGATGTGAGGTATTCAGGACATCTATGTCCACCCTCCCGCCTGCTGTTTCCCACCCTCTTTAAGTAGCAATCCCTATTTCTCTCTCCCCCTCCCCCCCAGCACTGTGCTTGGTGTCAGACACACAATTCACAAGTACATATGGTCCTCTTCCCATAAGGTGACAGTCTAGTAGCAGATATATACAAGAAAGTGGCAAATAAAAATGGCCTGATACATACAATTATGCACATGGCATATTATGGTAGAAGGTTTGCAGATTCTGTATGTGGATGTGAGAGAGTGTCTACAGAGCTTCCCTGCAGGAGGTGATGTTTAAATAACACCTGAAGCATGAGCAGAAGTTCGCCAGAAGGGTCATGGAGTGGGAGAACACTCCTTGCAGAGAGAACAGCTTGTGCAAAGGCTTTGGAGTGGGAGAGAGCATAGCTGATGGGGAGGATGGAGAGTAGTCTACACAGGCTGATCAAGCTGTCTATACAGAGAAGCATGGTTTAGGCCAGTGTTTTCAAAGTGGGCTCTATAGAACACTCATTCCTTAGATGTGTGTATGAACATACACACAACATAAAATTTACCACTCGAACCACTTTATGTGTACAATTCAGTGACATTAACTATATTCACAGTGTTGTACGACCATCACCATTATGTATTTCCAAAACAGTTATGACCCCAACAGAGTATCTGTAACCATTAAGTAAATAACTCCCCCTTTCCTGTTTCCCCACCCCGAAAACCACCATTCTGCTTTCTCTGCATTTGATGACTCTAGGTACTCATGTAAGAGGACTCAAATAATTTATGTATTTTTGTGGCTGGCTTGTTTCACTAAGAATAATGTTTTCAGGGTTCATTTATGCCATAGCTTATCAAAATATCCTTTTTATGTTTGAATAATACTCTGTTATATGTACTTAGTACATTTTGTTTATTTGTTCACCAATAGGTGAACACATGGGTTGATTTCACTTTGGGAAGCAATGAACATTAGTGTACAAGTTTCCATTACAGCCCGTGAGTATGTACCCAGGAGTAGATGTGTTGGATCTAATTGTAGTTCTATGTTTAACTTTTTGAGAAACCACAAACTGTTTTCTACCATTTTATGTTCCCATCAGCAATGTACAAGGGTTCTGATTTCCTCCGATGCTCTACAACTCTTATTTTCTCTGTGTGTAGGTATGTGTCTCTGTGTATTTAGTAATAGCCTTCCTAAAGGGTGTGAAGTGATTTCTCATTGTGGTTTTGATTTACATTTCCCCTGATGACTAATGATGGCAAGCATTTTTCAGTGCTTATTGGCTATAAAAAGGCTATTCGAGTCTTTTGCATAATTTTTAATTGGGTTGTATACTGTTTTGAATTATAATGCTTATCAGATTTATGTTCTGCAAGTATTTTTCCCATTCTTTAGTTATCTTTTCACTCTCTGATACTGTTCTTGGATATAAGGTTTTTCATTTCGATGTAGTTCAACTAACCTACTTTTCATTTTGTTGTCTGTCTTGTTGGTATTATGTCAGAAATCACTGCCAAAACCTATTAATGTCATGAAGCTTTTCTTCCAAGTGTATATAGTTTTAGCTTTTTGATCCATTTTGATTTAACATTTGCATGTGGTTTAAGGTAAAGATCTCACTTCATTCTTCCATGTAGCCATCCAGTTTCCCGGGTTCCTCTTCTTGAAAACGCAATTCTTTTCCCAGTGGAGAGTCTTGGCATTCTTGTTGAAAAGCACTTGACCGTATACACAGCTCTTTTCTATTCCATTGGTCTCTGTGTGTCAGTACCAAACAGTTTGATCACAGCAGTCTTGCAGATGGTCAACTTTTGAAATTAGGAAATATGACTCCTTCAACTTTATTCTTTGTTATGACTCTTAAGGTTTTCTTGAGATTCCTTGTAAATTTAGGAAGGATTTTTCCATTTCAGTGAAATACAATATTCGTGTTTTGATAGGATTATATCAAATCTGTAATTGTTTTGGGTATTATTGGCATCTTAACAACATTAAGTCTTCCACAAACATGAAACTTCTTGCCACTTGTTATCTTTTTTTGATTCTTCAGGTAACGTCTTTCAGGCTTCAGTGTACAAATCATTCCCCTCCTTGGTTAATTCCTAAGTATTTTACTCTTTTTGATGCTACTATAGATGGAATTGTTTTCCTAATACCTGTTCAAATTTTTCATTGTTAATATGACAGAAATGGTTTTTGTGTGTTGAGTTTATATCCTGTAACTTTACTAAATTTACTTATTAACTCTTACTTTTTTTGTTTGACTCATTAGGGTTTCTTACATATAAAATCAGGTCATCTGCAAAAAGAAATACTTTTGTTTCTTTCTAATTTGGATGCCTTATTATTCTTTTCCTTGTTTAATTGTTCTGGCTTAAACAATTAATGTTGAATACAAGTGGTAAAAATAGGAATCTTTGTTGCCATGGACTGAATTTTGTCTCACCAAAATTCACATGTTGAAGTCCTAAATCCCTACTACCTCAGAATATGAATGTATTTGGAGTTATAGAGCCTTTAAGGAGGTGATTAAACTAAAAAGAGGACATCCTGTAGACATTAATCTATCTGTCCTTATATATTTGCCTATTTCTTACATGTCATTCAAGAGGGAGTGCACGGTAGATGGTCTTTTTTTACGTTTTCTATTGGAGGAGTTACATGTTTGTTCTTGCCTGTGTCAATATGTGGTCTTTTGTGACTGGCTTCTTTCACTTAGCACAGTGTTTTCCCCCAACTTTCTGGTCCTGCCGTAGGGAAACTTAATCCTGTAAAAGGCACAAAGTGGCACTGAATCCCCAAGAGAAAGGTCAGATTTGAAAATACTGAGAACCACAGTATTCTATCAGTGCTCTCTGTATGAAAAGCAGCCAGAGAATTCAATAAATAAGCAAAAGCGATCCAGGGCAGGTGCCAACCTAAGTGGTTAGTTTCTTACTGATGTTTCTAGGGAGTTTGGAGTTACTAAGTGACAATGGGAATGATCAGAAAAAGAACTGGAGTCTGAAGGCACTATCAAGGACAGCAGAGTGGAGATCCCAGAACAAAAGTAAAGAAAAGGAGCCTAGCAACAGAAATTGCAAGTAGCATGGAGTCTGGAGTCTGTGTACCAGTTCAGACCCCAGGATGACCACTCACTACCAGTGTGGGCCAAGGTCTAGGTTAGCTCTACCCTCTAGGTGCTTCAGTGAAAAGTGGGGTAGTAATAACCCTGCCTACTGGAAGGATGTCATGAGGATTCAATGTTAAATGCCTGATACATTCTGAGCAAGGAGGAAGTGCTGGCATGAGTGAGAGCAACCTGTACTGAGGGTCTCTGCCACCTCCAAGCAGTCTCCTCACCAGTGCCAAGGGCTGAGGGCTCTCCAGGAAAGGGCTGGCTTCTCTACAGCTGCTGCTTTGAAGCAAGAGTCTCAGCCTTGGCTAAGCATCCTGGCAGAATTGTCCTCTGGCTCGATGGGGGAAGGTACAATTCTCAACTGGCCCCCCACGCTGGCACAGGGACCGGCTCCTGGGCGGGGCTCAGTCTGTAGGTGAAATGACTTGGGGGTGAATGAAGAGATGGAAGGGCCTTGAACAAACCTGCACGACCCATAAATCAGCAAGCGGTCCCGATGGCCACCGGCTTGCTAACCGCCCAGGAGGTATCATTTCATTTCATCTTCTCAGCCCTCTGTGAGGAGGCCTCTGGTTGACACTCTGCGGTAGGAGAGATTTTGGGAATGAGTTCTCTGTGGGGAGCCCTATATATCCTTCAGGGAGTCTAATTATTGAGAAATATGTTCAATTTGTAGCCAGGAAGGTTTTTTTTTTTTTGCTAGAAGTTGGAATCTTGGAAACAGGAAATTTTCAGCAAACTCTATTGAAAATAGTTTCTCTAACAATCTAGCTACATGTACTTTATAGTTATGATCTCAACTTCCTTAGCAAGACATAGAGTGACGGATAGGGTCCTTTGACTGGCTTTTGAAAGGGAGAGGTGGTGTGTTCTAGAAAGGTGTAGTGGGGGCCCACATCCTGGCAAAGCTCCAACCCAGGAGTCCTTGGCCCCCTCCTACTTTCTAGAAAAAGAGCAAAACCAGGAAGAATGGCCTTTGATCTTCCCCCTGCCTGCTCTCATTTCCTTTACACCCTTGAAAACCAGGAGTTCAGTGGGGCTCAGCCTGTCTCCCCACTTTCCAGCATAGTGCTGATGCCATCTGCCCCTTCCCCCAGGGCTATAATTTGGAAGCGAGCTGAGTTCAGCATAATGCAAGGTCCAGTTGGGTCCACTCTTCGGTCCTCCACTGGCCTGAGGGGCCCTACTCCAGAGTCCTATCCCTGGAAGCCACCCCTCCTACACAGGGTCCCTATTTCTAGCCATCTCCACCAGCAGCAGGGCCCCATGCTGTCGGTAGGCGGAGGAACTGAGAGCGGGAGGGGCAGAGCTGTCTGAGGGAAGGGGCATGGCTCAAACCCCTGCTCCTAGAAAAACAACCAAGGTTGGCTCCCCAGAATACCCCCAGAACTCATCCCCTCTGCCTGGGATCACAGCTTCCCAGGGATTTGCTTTGCAGCCAAAAGAACAGGCCGGCCCTCCAGCTGACCACACACGGGCAAGTGCAAGATGCTTATATAAGCACGTCTGCTTGGCAGCCTGCTCTCTGCCCTGGCCACCCTGGCACGGAACTAGTGTGACAGCAAAGCCGTGCTCACACAGAGGAGGAGCCTCAGGCAGGACTGAGGAGTGAGTCCAGCTTGGAGGAGGCCCAGGCCCTCCCAAGGAACTTGTGTCTGGGTGGCAGTTTAGCTGCTGCAGCCCTTAACACTGCCTGCCCCTCTCCCTCTGCTTATATCACATTTCTCTGTCCTACCAGGTAGGCCCCCAGGTGGGACTACAGGTGGGAGGGGTACCCCCCGGAGGGCACCTGAAGTTCTAAAGGATCCTTCTGTTGCAGGTGCCCATGGGCTGGACAATGAGGTTGGCCACAGCAGCCCTGTTTCTGGGTCTCACGCTGGTGGTCAATGGAGTGGATGAAGAGAACAATGCTTGTACCTATGAGGCCTTGCCGGACAACGACGCTGTCCTCTGCAAGTAAGGCTGGGGAGGGGGCGTAGCACCCAAAAAGCAACCAGGCTGATAGAGGTCTCAGGCAGGGTGTTTCCAGAACTAAGAAGCCTGCCTCCTGGGCCAGTCTCTGTGGACAGGCTAAGAGTAAGTCCATTCTGAAGCCCACCCTGATGGAGGCTGGCACTGAGGAAAGGACTGAGGCAATGAGACCCATGTCTGAAAGGGCCTGTGGTTCTGGCCTGACCCGTGCTACTGGGGCAGGGGACAAGGGGAGGGAGGGAAGCAGGGAAGGAGAACCCTTCCCTATAGCCTGGATGCTCTGTACCCCCCACCCCTGACAAAGAGAATTTTTCTTTTAACAGAACCTTTTTTTTTTTTAAATTCTTACAATAGTTGATTTTTACAGAATTGTGTGCCTTGACAAAGAAGCATTTTAAAGAAAAGTGCCAGATGACAAAGGACGTGGAGCTGGGCCCTCCCTGTGTGAGAGGGGCCTGTTTGTTTCTCACTAATGAAGCCCCAGGGTTGTCAGGACAGGGTTTGTAGGGAAGTGTGCCCTGCATGTTGTCCAGAGAAGAGGCTGACCTCTCTTTTCTGCTCGGCTGGAGTTCAACAACCTCCTCACCCAGTTTTCATGGCCCTGGACTCGTGGCCACCAGAGGGCTACGCAGGCCACAGTGCTGCCACTTCTTTAGCCAGGGTGCCCAACGAGGCCTGCGTCTCACCTCAGGAAGAAGAGTGAAAGCAAGACAGGAAGGAGACTGAGTGTCTCCTAGTGTGTGTGTGACTTTTTACGATCATTACTTTCAGAAAGATAAATGCATGTTTTCCTCTACAAAGTTAGGTAGTTGAATTAAAGGGGAAAAAGTAGTATGAATTTTGCTCATGCAATTATTCTTTTTAAAAACTTTTTAAGCAGTTCCAGTTAGTTTTATGTGGGAGGAAAGAGGGAACAAGGCCTCTCGCAGGTGGGACAGAGCCTCTAGGTACTCAACTGAGCAGAATTTTTCCGTAGCCAGCAGGCTTTTACCTTGGTGGGTAGAAGACCCAGCCCCACAAGCTGGAGAAGACAGTGCATGGTGGGCCAGGCCAGGCCAGTGGCCCCATTATGGACTACTCTGGGCATCCCCATGTCCCTGCACTGTGGGAAACAGAGAAAATGTTGCTTCAGGGACACATTCTGTGCCAGGAGTACTGTGGTGTTTTAGACCCTGGTTCATCTCCTTGTTATCAAGAGCTTACCAATTAGGTTTTATCTTTTCTATCCGGGTGAGTGATAAAGTACCTGCCCACAGTGCTAACACTCTGTGCAGAGATCGCCCTCAGGCTTAGCAGCCGGAAGCACTCGCTGACTTACAGTCTGCTGGCTGATTTACATTCTGCTGGGCTCTGCCGGCAGCACTAGCTCGCAGCCTCTCAGGAGATCACAGTCAAGCTATTGGCCAGAAATCTCAACTCGTCAGGGGTGGGGTCCCTGCTTCCAAGCTCTTTTGTGGTTATTGACAGGCTGGGGACCCTTGTCTTGTGGCCTCTCCCTGGGCCTGCTCATAGCACAGCAACCATTGCCCCACAGAGCAAGGACTGAGAGAAAGCTTGCAAGTGACAGCCTCAAAGTAGAAGCCACTGACTTCTCATAACATAATTTTGGAAGCAGATTCCATCTCTCATCTGCTATATTCTCTGTCACTAAATCTGGGTCCCACTTAAAAGGAAAGGATTACACAAGGGTGTGGAAACCAACTTACGGGGACCTTGGGGGTATCTGGACACTGCCTGCCACATCCACGTCTTTATGTTTCTCTCAACCCATCAGTTATGAGACACTGTGCTAGTTCTGTAAGTTTCTCTGGGCCTCAGTTTACTTCGCTGGGCGAATCAAGGTATTGTTAGATGAAATGACATCAGGCATATGTGATCCACTTGATCTATTGGAACCCAATAATGCTACCCCCTTTCTTTCTGGTCCCTTATGCATTGGTAGATAATGGCTAACCTGGGGCCAGAGCCCCTGCTCCTTCCTCTGTGCCCCCCACTTTCTCTGGGGGTACCTCTGAAAGAGGTCAGGAGAGGCCCAAACCTGAGTGTAGAGTAGAGCACAGCCCCCCGTGAGGTACGCCACAGTAGGAAGGACGCTGCTGTAAGATGAGGTATTTGAACCTGAATGCAAATCATCAAGTGTGCTCTTACTAAATTTAAATTTTGATTAGGTTCATCTCAGGCTGGTCCAGATCATCTTTTAGGCTGAATTGATCTGAATTGTTAGATACCAGCTTTGTGCTGTTTGCAAATCTAGTACATCTGCCTTCTGTGTCCTGAGTCAAATCTTTGATAAAACTACTGGAGACAGACCACACATGCCCCTGGGCATGTTCTGTTAGTGAGCAACATGAGGTTTCAAATGCTGAGCTGGCAGAACTCCATGGTCCCGAGGGAGCAAGGGGGAAGTGTCACATGGACCTTGTCCCAGGGCCCTGGCATGCTTCCTATCAGAACTTTCTTTGGCTGGTGATTTTGCTTAACTATTTTAAAATTTGCAACAACTCTATGGGGAAAGAAAGAGGAGTCCCATTTTTCCTGGGGGCTAGTCCCCTTGTTTTTTTTCCAGTTCTGTGCTGTGTCCACATTCTCCATCACTGTGCCAGTGGAGGGTCCTCTGTTTCAGATCTTGATGGTGGCAGAAACAAACCCAGTGATCCTCACATGCTGCAGGGAAGTTAAGTGAAAGTCCATACTTAAATTATGCCTTCCCCAAAGAATTACTGCAAACTCAGGAAGAGTTTAAAGAAACAAATATGTCTGCAAGCCAGTTCAGTTAGTTGCCTCTGTGACTGGTAGCCTATTCCTGACCCTGGGCGCTGCCCACCCAAGTACCTCTGGTGTTGCAGGCTCAGACCACGCTTGCCCAAAGGTACCTCAGTTGTCTGTGGTCCTCAGGTGACTGTGGAAGGGTGGGAGGCAGGAAAAGGAATGGAGGCTTCCAGTCAGGAAGGTGTCCTCACCCTTGTTCCAGGTCTCCCCCCTCCAGATTGACTTCACGTTATATCGCATCAGCCCTCCCTTGGGAATCACCCCCAGCAGGGCACCCTGGTCAGCACAGATATGTTCAGCCATGTGGGCTTTTCAGAAAGGATGAGGCCCCCACTTCTTCTCTCAGTGAATCTTCTGAACCCAGTGAATCCCACACAAACCTTGGGTCTTGGTGATCAGTGAGGAAGGGCATGTGTAAGAAAAGAAGTTGGCCAAATATGTGTTTTTATCTCTCTTTGAAAACCTGGCTTATACCCCTTCTCAGTTTCAAAAGCAGAAGTCCTTCATACTGACCCAGGGGGAACCTGTAATCAGCAGCTCCCCCAACCCCCCCAACCCCCAAGTAGAATCTCAGCGCATTTGTGCTGTGCAGCCCTTTCTCAGGGACAAGGTAGAAAGATGGACTCAGGCCACAGACTCAGGCCTAGTCTCAGGTGACTAGGAGCTTTGACACTGGGGTAGTAGCATGGATTATAGAGCAAAACTGTCATTTCCTCCACAACCACCTAAGGCATGGGAGATCATAAGGGAAAAAGTAGTGTCGCTGCCCGTGGGCAACAGCCAGGGTTGAACATGGGGTCCAAAGGGAAGTTTCCCACTGACTTCCCCTGGGCAACACCCACGTGGTCCTGCAGCCTCCAGGACTGCTACACGCAGCCCCAGCTGGCTGCAGCACGGACCTTTTCCTATTTGGTGCCTGGGTTGTAGAACGAACCAATCACATCAGCACGTTAGTTAATTATTCAGCGCTAGATGGGCTGATTGGTCCTAAAGTGGTCCAATCCTGGTCACAGACCTGGAAATGGTCCAATCAGGCAGGTAGCCACTAGGGCGGGGCGGGGAACCTGGAAAGCCCACCCCCTTTCCGTGGCTGTCACGCTGTTGCAGTTACACCCCTGAGAGAGCTGCTTTTGCGAAGCGCAGGGACTGACTACAGGAGCTGAGGGAGCGCGGAGCTTACTCACAGACCAGGACTGTTTCCTGGTGGCCGCTCTCCCTGAGTGGAGAGATCTTGCTAGTATTGGGCTGAGAGAATAGCCTGTGGCCAGGAAGAAGGTACTAACTTGTTAAACTCTCCTTTGTGTGAAAAGCAACGTGTAAACACTGTACTTCTCAAGCCAGCCCTGCTGACCAGGCTTGGCGACAAGTGTCTGTTCTTGTTTGAGAAGTAAACCCTGGTGACAGCTGACACTGACGATACCACTGACGACAGGGCAGGGCCTGTCACGAATCCTGTTCACTTCGTTTACTCCTCAGAACGATGCGGCCACCTTTTCCGGGTGGAGAAACTGGGCACAAAGGGTCCAGGTCACATGTAGATCACCGGGACACACAAATAGTGGCAGGCGGAGGATTCATCCCCACAACATTACCTCAGCCGGGGTGGGCGTCTTGAGGCCAGTCACCTACCTGTCTCCACAGGGGCCTCCAAGTTTTCTACCCAGAGTTGGGGAACATTGGCTGCATGTTTGTTCCCGACTGCAACAACTACAGACAGAAGATCACCTTGTGGATGGAGCCCATCGTCAAGTTCCCCAGGGCGGTGGAGGTGAGTGAGCGCTCGGCCTGTGGGGGCCGTTGGCCTTGTTCATCTGGGTGGCTTCAGGTGGGCACAGAGCCCTCTGGGCTGGGTCTGGCGGGCCCATGGCAATGGTGGTTGCCCTGAGAGAACATGTGAGGGTCCTCAGCCTTGGAGGGCAAAGGTGCTGACCGGAGCCTCAGTGCCACCCAGGCCACTCCCCGGGGGGTTTCCTGTTCCTGCAGCCAAGGGAGCCCACACCTGCTTCCTCAGGCAGTGTGCAGACCAGCTGGTGTGCATTTCTGGTGTGCAGAGAAATGGAGGGGAATGGGACTGGGAGTCCACAGGGCACAGGGAAGCTGGGCTTTCAGAATGGTTTTGGAATTAGAGGAGCTTATTTGCAACAGACCACACCCCTCACCTAGGCTGAGCAATGTATCTTGATTCTTGGTCATGGCAAAATGAGACCTGATGGAAGGTTGGCCCAAAATTGTCTAAAATAGGCGATTGAAGCATTTTAGGAATTGGAAATAAGTGTTCCTCCTACTGGGAAATGACTAACGCCATCTTGTTCTGGAAGCTTCCTTCCCATGTGCCTGGGGAAAGGCCTGGAGTAGGAAGGCTGAGGTTGCTGCCTCCAGTGAGATGTGTCCTGGTAGCAGGTCCAGTGTTCTGGCTGCTGTTTCCTCCTTCCTTGGCTCCTGGGCCACACTGAGCCTCCAGACATACACTTCTGTTTTAGTAGGACGTGTCAAGTCAGCCTAGGCACAGGGACTAATGTGCCCAAGACTCAGACCACTGATGGATTCAGGGCTGTGGTCGGGACGTGAACACCACACGCATGGTGGCTGGCTTTCTGGTGCTTCCCTGCAGTGGCAGCCAGAGGTGCCCTTTTGGTTCTGCGGTGAGTCAGGGCTGACAGCACAGACAGGAAGATAGTCCTGGGGATTCACACAGGTTACTTGGATGTAGAGGGGTACATTTTTCTTTTCTTTCTTAAACTCTGTTTTCACTATCAGGTGACAAATATATTGAGATATGTGTCACAATTTATGAGAACACAAAGCTTTGACAGGCCATCATATTTGCAAACCACGACAGCATCCCTTCTACTAGGAAGTAATGAGATCTTCTGGGTCTCCTTTTCCTCACCCCTCCTAGTCTGCACACATGTACATGCAAGCACGTGCGTGCTTACATGCAGGGTGTCAGCTACCCTCCCTGGGAGCCTTGGCCTGTCACCCCCATGGACAGGAGGAAGTAGCCGAGGAAATGTGGGGCCCAGTTATTCAAATCTTGGGGTGGATAAAGGGCCACAGAGCAGGGCAAGGAAGAGTATAATGCTGCCCTATGGGAAAAGAACCTACTTCACCCTTAATTCTCTTGTCCTCAGACCTGTCCGGGAAGTGAGGAGGTTGGACCAGAGGCATTCAGAGTCCTAGTGATTGTCCCACGAAGTCTCAGCACTAGGAGCCACTCCACATGGGATTGCTGCAGACTTCCACTAGGTGGCAGTGTAGACTTTCTGAGCGTTGCTCGCAGGAAGGCCAGCAAGTTGGAAGAAAGTTGGAAACGTCCCATTTGATTGTTTAGTTGTGCTGGTTGTGCTGTGGTATGTGCACACAATGCAGAAAAGATAGCCCCCTCCCCCACCCCTCCCACACACACAAGGTTAAAAAACCCTTCCAGTCTCAGCCCAGAGGTAAGGTAGAGGAGAAAACTGGACTGGAACTTAGAGACTTATGAAGGACACATTTGTATTTAAGAAAGCCAAGGAGGGCAGAGGTTTCACCAAAGAAAACTTGGTCAAGGTGGTGGAAAGAAAAAGCTATATTTTATTATTACACAACTACTGTTATGAAAATTTAGCTGACCTTTGAGAAGGCAGATTAAGTTATCAAAGCCACCTATTGTTGAAGGGTCCCTACTTGAAGCTGGGTGCCATTCCGGTGTCCTTTCATTTCTCTCATCAAGTCTGCAAGTTAAGTATTTGTATTTTTTAATCAAGAATGTTAGTGGCAAATGACAAAAGTCAACTCAAACTGGCATAGGCCCAAATAAAGGAAATTAATTATTTATTCAAAAGTTGAAAACTCCATAGATAACTTAAGATGTGGTTCAATTCAGTGCTCAAGCAACATCATGTCTCCTCTTTCTTTTTTT